ACAGTAAGGTCAGAACATACTTCATCCAGATTGTGGAATTATAAAACTGTCTCTATTCATTACAATTTAATCGGAGAGGTAACATAAAATGTTAAATAATAATGCCCACAATAAATGCTACAGCAGTTAAGAAGGGGTATATTTGGACAAAAGTCCAAAAGATAATGACAGTGAGGGTGGAGAGGAGCAGACAAATTTATGAGGTATCTGTAAGACAAATTACTAAAATTTTGTGATTGAATGGTACAGGTTGAATAGAAGGGAGATTTTGATTTGGTCAGTTGTTATATGGTGGTGTCCTTAGCAGAACAGTAAATATGTGAGGAAGAAAAGATGGGGAGTTCAGTTTTGACATGTTGAATGTGAAGTTAATATGAGACTACTGCTTGGAATTGACCAGTAGGAAGCTGTAAATGTGGATTTGTAGCTTAGTATAAAGTCTTGGGCTGGAAATACGGATTCGAAGGTCATCACTGACTTACTTATTTGTCTATATCTATCTGTATTCCCTAGGGTTCCATCATTGTATGACCTCTGTCTCTCTTCCTGTCTCCCTTTTTCTCCACCTTCCCCTTTTTACTATTTTATAGATTATTCTTTGGTGATTTCATCCATTATCAATATACACAATACATGATAGATACAGACAATATCCAATACTGCCTATACTTAGAGACTGTATAGACAGTACATGAAATCATGTAGATTGAATCTGTAAAATGAGAAAAAAGGAAAGATTCAGAGAGAGAAACACAGTGATGAAACCCTGTGGACTACTGATTGATACACACACATACACACGTACACAAATACACATACATACACATAGCTGTTTGAAGTAGTAGAATTTGCAGAGGAGACAGAGAAAATAGGCAAGAGAATGACAAGAGAGTGGTGCCTCAGAATCTAAGGGAGGTGAGAGTTTTAAGTGAGGGTGTCCGGTTGTGTTAGCTGTCATAGACTATCCAGTGGAGGCAAGAGCTGAATAAAAGCTTTCCACTGGGTTTTTATACTGTTACTGAGTACTGATATTGTTAATGATTAAAGCAGTTTTATCAAAGGATGAGAACGAAAGCTAGATTGCAGTAGTTGAGGAACAAATAGGAAGTACAAAAGGAGAAGTAACACTTGTAAGCTATGGAGTTTAAAATTTATCCCTTGAACAATAGAGGACAATTACAAGTTTTTGATTTAAGGAATTATGTGATTGAAAGTGGTGCTTTAGGGAGCTCTGGTGCCAGCATACACCGTGGGTTACTATGGCAATGCGGAGGTCAGTTACTAGGGTAATGGTGAGAAATGAAAAAGAAAGAATGATGAGGGAAAGATTCTACAGCAAAAAAAAATCTTTTTGTTCCGTGACAGGCAGCAACACTGAGGGGCCATGTGAGGGATTTTAGGCCAGTGCCAAATAGAGAAATCAAAGAAAGGAATTGGTTTGGGGAAGATGATGATCAGCCTCTGAATTGAGTTTGATTTGAACGTAGAACATTTGTGTGGTAAAGACAAGCAGTCAGAAACTAGAGCTTCTGAGAATGTTCATACTTGGTATTAGAGATCCAGTATGGTCTCTTATGTAGAATTAATGATGATATAAATAGCCAGGTAATTAAAGGGAGTACCTTGTAGGAGCAGACATTCCTAACTTGGGGTATATGGAAGCTTCAAGGAGGTCTGAAATTATATATAAAGCTTTTGTGAATATAATTTTTTTCAGAAAGAGTTGTGTGTCCTTTATATGATTCCCAAAGAATCTGTGACTCAAAAGAATAGAAATTATTGCTAGAGAAAGTGAAGCAAGTGCCTAATCATAGGCAAAAATAATAAACACTAAGACCAGAGAACCAAGATAAAAGTAGGATTGAAAGTTACGGAAAATGACAACAGAGGAAAAAATAAGAGTATTAAACCAGACATTAAAAACCTAAGAAGGTACAGTTTGTTTTTTTTGTTATACCACTAGAAATAGTCTATATTCTTTAGACCCTGTGTCATTTGCAGTGTGTTAATTGATCATCATGATGACCTGAGAATTAGGAATTAATGTTCTGTAAACCCTGCAGTGACAAGAAAAATTACTTAATACATTTAGAATTATTTTAATCCAGAAGGCTAAAATAATGTTTTGCTGTATTAAAAAAAATAAGATACTCATTATCCAGAATGACTTGTTAATCAAAGCATTTCAGCTTTTTGTAAATTTTATTGATAAAAATTTGTCCCCAATTAAGGGTGGGGAACCTGCAGCCTTGGGGCCACATGTGGCTTTTTGGATGCTCCTGGATCGTTTTAGTAAAGGGATTTGTTCTGTAAGTTTTGGATTCAGTCAAGGGGCCACACTTGGGGATCTGGAGGGTCACATCTAGCCTTGAGGCCTCAGGTTTCCCACCTGCTGCCAGGGCTTTAGGTTAAGGGCAAAAAATTCTAGTAGTACCCATAAAATAACTATAATCTAAAGAAATAAATAATGGCAGCTCCAGTTTGGGGGTGGTCATTGCAAAAGACTGCTTTTTCCTATTTGATAAGGTAAGTATTTGCTAAGGTGATATACCTGTTGCACATGCACATCTTGTATTGAAATATTGTTTTTTAATGGTATCAAAATTACTAGGAGAAATAATGTATAATGCATTGAATTAAAAAGTCCTCATTTGTACATCTCTTTGGGTAACTGGGACAGGAGAATACCATATGTTTTAATTGAGCATTTAGTCATTTTTAATACAGTTTTAATTGGACTTCTGTTTTGTTCCTAATGTATTAAAGAGTATAAAAATAACCATTCTTTATACATGCTAGGTCAGTAGAAGATTATTCTCTATAACTTTTTTTTTTTTATTTCAGGGTATTATGAGGGTACACACATTATGGTTACACTTTATGTCTTTGCCTCACCCAAGCAAGGGTTAAAGGCATGCCCTTCCCCCCTACAATACTCCCCGTGTCCTGTAGTTTCGGGTTTACCCCCGCCAATCCCCCTAATCCTTGGAGAGTATTACTGCCATGTGATCACCCTAGTGTTGATCAGTTAGTACCAATTTGATGGCGAGTACAAGTGGAGCCCATTCTTCCAAACTTGTGGTGCCTCACTTTGGATAATGGGCTTAAGTTTAATCCAGGAAAGTATAAGAGGTTCTAGATCACTGTCATTTCTGATGATTGAGTAATATTCCATTGCATACATATACCAAATTTTAATAATCCACTCATGGATTGACGGGCACTTGGGTTGTTTCCACATTCTTGCAATAGTGAATTGTGCTGCCATAAACATTCGGGTGCAGATGTCTTTATCGTAGAATGTTTTGTGCTCTTTTGGGTAGATGCCTAATAGTGCTATTGCTGGATCGAATGGTATTTCTATTTTTAGCTCTCCGAGGTATCTCCAAATTCTTTTCCACAGCGGTTGCACTAATTTGCAGTCCCAGCAAGCAGTGTAAGAGTGTTCCTGTCTCTCCGCATCCTCGCCAGCAAAAGGATGTTTTGGAATTTTTTGATATAGGCCAATCTCACTGGGGTTAGGTGATATCTCATTGTGGTTTTGATTTGCATTTCTCTAATGGTTAGAGATGTTGAGCATTTTTTTATATGTTTGCTGGCCATTATTCTGTCTTATTTTGAAAAGTTTCTGTTCATTTTCTTTGCCCATTTGTTGATGGGGTTGTTTGATTTTTTCTTGGTGATTTTTTTGAGTTCTAGATAGGTTCCGGTTATCAGCCCTTTATCAGATGTGTGGAGAGCAAATATTTTCTCCCATTCTGTGGGCTGTCTATTCACTCTAATGATAGTTTCCTTGGCAGTGCAGAAGCTTTTTAATTTGATTAGATCTCATTTATTTATTTTTGTTGCTGCAGTGATTGCTTTGGGGTTCTTCTTCAAGAATTCCTTGCCTAGGCTGATGTCTGAAAGGGTCTTCCCAACATCTTCTTTTAGAATTCTTAAGGTTTATTCTCTATAACTTTATTTTGAAATTTTGAGTTGCCACTTTTTATTTACTACATGAATTTAACGTGAAGTGATAGACAATTTATTTTATGAAGTCTTTTATAATGAGGAATTAGATATCTTTTTGCTTTTGTACAAAAGTTTTTGTATGGAAACTGGCTTCAGAAAGATTTAAGTGTCTGCATTGGTATTCACGTTGTAGAGTAGGAAAGGAAATGGGAATGTTTTATAGTTAATTTCTTTGTGCAGCATCTGCTTTTTCTCTGTTTCCAACAATCATTTCCATGCATAACTTTTAAAGAAATCTCCATTTCTAAGGGAAAATACAATTTTGTGTGTTGGGATTTAGGATGGTTCACGTTATTGTGGTTACCCTCTTTTTATTTCCATTAGATTAAAATAGAATTTTCAGTAAATGTTTACTTGTCTTCTGTAGTCTACAACAGTGTTGTCCAACAGCAGTAAAATGTGAGTCACAATCAATTTAAAATTTTCTAGTAGCCACATTAAACGGAGTAAAGTAAAATTAATATTTTTTGTTTACCTCAGTATATTCAAAGTATTATTTTAACGTGTAACCAATATAAAAATCATTGAGACGTTTATCTTTTAATTTCTTATTAAGTCTTTGAAATCCAGTTTGTATTTTTTACTTACAACATGTTTTAATTTATATTAGCCACATTTCAAGTGCTCAAGAGTCACATGTGGCTAATGGCTACCCTATAATACAGTGTAGGTCTATAGAGTCAGAACAAATTCTTAATATCTGGATGGATAGGACAGATAAAAGGAGATATTTATCTTACATTAATTGGGTTTGATCAGTTTAATAACTAGTTACCAAAACCCAATAATGTCATTTTTATGGATATCAAAATGGGCTTTTTTATTCAGTGAAAACTTAATTAGAGGAGATATGCTGGGAATACTGGGTAAATGGAAATTTTCATCTTTATTTGCCCTTAATAACTGTATTATATAACTACATTATTTCTACTGTATGCATGTATTTATACTTCCACGAAATTTCAATATATGTTTATAACCTTCAGCATAAATGCAGTTCCAACTACAGTGAAGATTTTGTGCTACAGCTAGAGAAGGAATTGGTCGAAGCCCGACTGAGTGAAGCTGAGTCTCAGTGTGCACTAAAGGAGATGCAGGATAAAGTCCTGGATATAGAGAAGGTAAGAAATGCTATCAGTCCCAAATTGCAGGGGAGATGTGACAGATATTCGTTAAGTACTTATTGAGCAATTAAATTGGACTTGGTGTTTTTGCATGTTAGAAACTTTACATATTAGTTACTAAGAGAGAAAAGGAAAAAAACGATTTTTAAGATTGCCACTTTTTGTTGCTGTCATACTAATCAAGGCCCAATATTTAAGGATAAAAATGGAGATCAGAGCCCTCTTAGAGGAAAACAACCAGGATAATTTTCATAGGAAGAATATTTAAGTGTTGCAAAAGAGAAACTTAGGAGTCAGAAATTAACTATTGTCTTCATGTGGAAGAGATAGAATAGAACTAACACATAGACATTTAATGGAAAATTTTATCTGACGGTAATTGTTACAACTGCCCAAGCTAGACTAAGTTACTTCAGGATGTATAGGATGTTCCCCTTAGCCTGAGGTGTGCTTATAGAAGCTAACTTACCTCTTTTCAGGGATATTAAAGAACATCAAGAATTAAATAAGCAGCAGGAATAGAAAAACTTTTAGGTTTCTTACCACCCTCAGGTTTGGGAGTCTGTGTTCTAGATCACAAACTCCGAATCTCTTTTTTTCACATCTATAAAATTACTGATAATCTAGGCTCTATGTTGAATTTGTTCCTTTTTATCCCTAGGTTAATATCTAGCTATTGAATCAAAAAGGCTCATAGATAATGGACGTAACAGTCTCCGTTGTTCTTAACAGAACAATTTTTGCTAGAAATCTACTTGCTCTTTCTCTATTGTTTCTGGAAAATTTATTCTCTGGTTTGTTGAGAAGAAAGCCAGCAAGAATGCTGAAAGAAATACTTAACAGAATATTTGGTCTCTAAGTATTCTGGACTTCATGATTTAGATGAGAATCTGTGTCTTACAGTTACAAAGATTTTGAATATTTGTTAAAAAGAAGTGTACTTAGGTTCAGTTCAGTTTAAAAATGGATTTCTTTTTTTGGAGACAGAGTCTTGCTCTGTCACCTGGGCTAGAGTGCCATGGCTCACCAACCTCAAACTCCTGGACTCAAGGATCCTCCTGCCTCAGCCTCCTGAGTAGCTGGGACTATGGGTGCAGTATGCAGTACACCACCACGCCTAGCTAATTTTTTCTATTTTTAGTAGAGACGGGGTCTCACTCTTGCTCAGGCTGGTGTCGAACTCCTGATCTGAAGGGGTCCTCCGCCTTGGCCTCCCAGAGTGCTAGGATTATAGGCATCAGCCACTGCACCACGCCTAAAAATGGATTTCTTAAGTGACTGTGTTGGTATTCACATTATAGAGTAGAAAGGAAGTTGGAAGGTCGCATACTTCCTATGGTTCATTTTTTGGTGCAGCATCCTCTTTTGCTTTCCTTCTAGCAGTCTTTTTAATGCATAAGCAGTAAATTTTTGGTTTGCAATTGGGAAAATATTTAAAGTCCATTTTAAGAATGTATCAGGCCTTGAAATCTCAATCGTACCTCAATTTACCCAGGAGCTTTCCCTAAGGCCTAATTTTGGATCTTTAGGTAACTCTCTCTCGGTAACTCTCCAAAGCAGTTTGGTCCTGGCTACCCTATATCCTAGGTGGGTCTTTTATTAATAGTATGGTAGGAGATTGATCTAAATCTTATATCCATGAAGCAAATATTTAGATCACCTTGGTGTTAGTTTCTTGACTTTTGATGTAAATAGTAACTGATACACAGAGATTTGACACCCTTTTCCAAGATGATATGCTGAGAAAATACAACAAAAATTTTTTGTACTATTTTTATAAATCTTTAAAATGTAAATGACATTCATGCTTTTATTTGGAGTCCTCATCAGAGGTTAGTAAGTTTCTGACCGTGTTGAAAAACATTTTTAATCTGTTGCTCCATAACTCTCATTAGTATTTTATTAACAAGGCACAGTTAGACTTCCTTTTTTTTTTTTAATTAATTAATTAATTAATTTTCTTTTTGAGACAGAATCTCGCTCTGTTGCCCGGGCTGGAGTGCCTTGGCGTCAGCCTAGCTCACAGCAACCTCAAACTCTTGGGCTCAAGCAATCCTACTGCCTCAGCCTCCCGAGTAGCAGGGACTACAGGCATGCGCCACCATGCCCGGCTGATTTTTTTCTATATATATTTTTAGTTGTCCAGCTAATTTCTTTCTATTTTTTTTTTTTTTTTTTTTTTTTTTTTTTAGTAGAGACGGGATCTCGCTCTTGTTCAGGCTGGTCTCGAACTCCTGACCTTGAGCAATCCACCGCTTCAGCCTCCCAGAGTGCTAGGATTACAGGCGTGAGCCACCACACCCAGCCAAGTTAGACTTTCTGTGGCCTCAAAATTAAGTACAGTTACCCTCATACATTGCTGGTGGAAATGTAAAGCAGTGCAGCTACTTTGGAAAAGTATGGTAATTTCTTAAAAATTAATTGTAGAATAATTATCATCTGAGCCAGCAGTTCTGCTTCTAAGTATATACTTAAGATAATTGAAAATGTTAAGTCCCATGAAAACTTTTACACCAGTGTTCACATAGCAGCATTATTCATAGTAATCAGAAAGTGGAAACAACCCAAGTTTCTATTAACTGATGAATGGATAAATGTGGCATATCTATACAATGGAATATTATTTGTCAATAAAAAAGGGATGGATTTTGAAAACATTGTGCTAAGGGAAATAAGGTAGTCACAAAAAGCCACCAATATGTATGATTCCATTTGTATGACATATCCAGAATAGGTAAACTCATAGAGATAGGAAGTAGATTAGTGGTTGTCAGGGACTGGGGAGGTGGGGAATGTAGAATGCCTGCTGATGGATAGAGTTTCTTTTTTGGGTGATAAAAATATTCTGAAATTAGATCATGGCAATAGTTAAACAACCCTGTGAACACTCTAAAAACCACTGGCTTGTATATTTTAAAGGGGTGAGTTTTATGGTTTACAAATTATATTTCAAAAAAACTGTATAACAATTAAGTTTGGGACAAAATAGCTCTTAAGTGTGAGATAGATAGAAAAATAGACTTCTCTTTTTTGAGACAGAGTCTTGCTCTGTCGCCCTGGCTAGAGTGCAGTGGTGTTATTGTATCTCACTACAACCTCAAACTCCTCAGCTCAAGCGATCCTCCTGCCTCAGCCTCCCAGAGTGCTAGGATTATAAGCGTGAGCCACTGGACCCAGACCTTAAGTGTGCTGTATGTTATTTTATTTCTTAAATTTTAAAATCCCAGATTAAATTTTCTCTTGCTTTAGAGGAACAACTCCTTTCCTGATGAGAATAACATTGCAAGGCTTCAGGAAGAACTCATTGCTGTGAAACTGAGAGAAGCAGAAGCAATTATGGGTTTGAAAGAACTTAGACAGCAAGTCAAAGACTTAGAGGAACACTGGCAGGTAGGTCAATATATTTTGTGTGCTTTTTAAAAAAGAGAGTAAAACCCAAATACCCAATTTGTGAGAGTTCAAAGTAGCTGATAACCAACAGTAGGAACTGAGTTTGAGAAAGACCCTGTTTAGTGTCAAAATTTAGAGCATTTGTAAATTCAGAATACATTTATGCTGTTTCTCCCTTTTTAATTTTTATGATGAAATATAAAATAGAAATACAGTTATTTTTGTAGCATCTGTTGTTCACAATATAACTTTCTAAAAAACTGTAAGAAAGTATTCTTTTTATATAGTACATATTTTTTCTTATTGATGTTAAATCCGTGGATAGTGTGAAACATGAGACGGATAACAATATAAACTTGTGACTTCTTTTGAAATTGGTTATCTTGCAAAATAAATGACATTTGTCTAGTTATACACCCACAAATTTATTCGCATATGAGGGAAATTATTGACAAGGAACAAAATGCAATAATCTATAAGACAGAAGGGGGGGAAGAATGAAAAATTACACATAGTTTCAGAATAGTGATCTTGGTTTGACTTGGGGTGGAGAGAGAGGGTATATCTAGCATGGACTGAAGTTGGTTCTTGATGTTGCCATGGCTTTTTTAAAAAAAAAAGTGTTTTGTAGAAGTATGGCTGCAATAAACTGAAAATTTAAAAACAAAATTTGGTCCTTCACCACAGATGTTTAGAAGAACATTGCCTTTAACTTCTGATATTTCTTCCACAATGAATGGCCCTATTTTTTATATTTTCTTGGGATTTTATTGAGGATAATATGAAAAATCTCTCATAAAAGAAATTAGAGTAAAAATTGTATTCTTTACAAGAATGAATCCACAGTATATAGAGAAAAAATGTTTTAACTGTGTTTGAGTTTATATCCAAGATCTGACACTTGCTGGCTATATGACCCTCCTGACATTACTTAATCACAATGTCCATTTTCTTACTGTAAAACAAAGGTAATAAATATACTGGGCATTTTTCTGGGCATTAAATAAAATAATGTGTGAAAACTGCTTAATAGAGTAGCAGGCCTGAAATAAGTGCTCAGTAAGGTTAGCTCTTATTTTGATACTGATAGTATTTGTTGCAATATAATTTTTTATGCTTTAGCGCCACTTAGCTCGTACTACTGGGAGATGGAAAGACTCACCTAAGAAAAATGCTGTGAATGAGTTACAAGATGAACTGATGACCATTCGACTTAGAGAAGCTGAAACACAAGCAGAAATAAGAGAAATAAAACAAAGGATGAGGGAAATGGAAACACAGGTATGATGGAAAGGCCCAACCAAGAGCTTTAAAAAGTATCATCAGCAGATTAGAGGTTTATGTAGATCGTATCATTCCTAGAATAAAGGTACAAGGTGAAGATATGAAACCGTGTAGACTGCAATTTTCTAGCCCAAATGAAGAGGGCTAAAAATTGTTTTCTTTGATTTTAGAGATTCAATCTCTTCTTGACACATTCAACAAAGTTAAAATCAGTCAAACTATTTGACTTTATTAGGCAAAGTTCATAGGGTTTCCTTGTTGCACAACTTGAGAGGGAACATTCATATATAGCAAAATTTCTCACCCTTAACACACTTTTAACGTCTTGGGTTAGAAAATCCTTTGTTTTATGGAGCTGGCCTGTGCACTGTAGAATGTTTAGCAGCGTCTTCCTTGCCTCTACCCATTAGATGCCAGTAACGTCTCTCCCACCCCAGATTGTGATGACCAAAAATGTCTCCACACACATTGTCCACTGTCCACTGGGGGGCAAAATCGCCCCTAGTTGAGAACCACAGATGTAGACTATAATGTGAATGATGCTTCCTAAAGTTGTATAATGTGGTGATCCTGAGTAGTCAATTGTCCTTCTTTCTTCTTGAGTACCCCCTTTCTCTAGTAAATTCTGTCTTATATATACTTAAGAGCTGCAAAGGCCTTTTAATGAACCTATTGCATTGTAAAAGCAGATTTGGTTTTTATGTGGTATGTTGTGTTGACCATATTCCACATACTCTGTGAATGTTATTTCATTTCGAAATATTTATTCAGTCAGTAGGGGGCATAGTTAACTCATATATCATTCTCTATTCCAGTGTGCAGAATGATCAAATCTCAGGATAATGTAAATATGTAATTTCTTTAGAATAAATATATCTTGTTTTACATTGTTAAAAGTATAATTTAAAAATAGCAGGAAGAGATACTATAAGATTATGAAGAGAAGAAATCTAGGTTTTATAATGGGAACTTTTATCTTTATAATCAGATTGTATCTTCGTATAGATATTAAAGATGCAAATACAGTTTTGAAACCAGTGTTGAGGATTTATTTCACAAGGGGTAGAGGTGAATGAATCAAATTGAACAAACATGGTTTGAGAACTTGTGAAACACAAAGCACTGTCTCAGCCATTAAAGGACTTGAGAAATAGGCACATACAAACTATATTAATATAATTCAGAAATCTAGTAAGTAGGGAGTTAGAAATTGCAGTGGAGACTAGAAGGGGAAAATTAATTTCAACTAGGTGGTTTGGGGAAAGGCTTCCTTAGAAATTTGTATTTTGAACTGTGCCTGACTAATAAGTGTGAGTTTGGATGAATTTTACTAGAAGGGGGTTGGTAGAAGGCACTAGTTCCTAAATGCCAGTACTTAGACTGGTGATGATCCATGAAGTTACTTTATTGGAAATTGAGAAAAATAAATAAAACACTGTGGTGTACTGGTGGTAGTATATAGTCATCTAAAGAGTATTATATCAAACACCTATGTATCCACCATGCAAATTAAGAGATTTGTCCGTGTTTATATTAATACATGTAATTCCACTTCTGTCATTTTAAGGACTTTTAGAAAAGTCTGTCTGATGAGTATATCTTGGTTTATTTAGCTACTGTCCTTTTGCTGTGTACATATTTTTTTGCTGTTGCAAACAGTACCACTCTGAACATTCTTGCGTGTTTCTTTGTGTATGTCTCTAAGAGTTTCTTGAGTACAAAGGTCCTTATCCTTTTTTGTACCATGAACACTGTTGGTAGTCTGGAGCCTATGGACCCCTTCTCAAAATGTTTTTTAATGCATAAAACAAAATACATGGATTGCAAAGCAACCAGTTATATCGAGGTACAGTTAGCAAAATACAAAAAACAAATTTGTGATATAGATCACCTATACAGAGACACAACACATTCCTATTGCTGGATTCAGGTTTTTAATATTTTAGATTTTTTGTACATATACTCATAAGTTAAATTGTACTATATTTTTCCCAGCCTTTTAATTTCAGTTTATCTGTGTGCTTATATCTCTGAGAAACAGCATATAGATGGATACTTTTTTTTTTTTTTTTTTTTGAGACAGAGTCTTGCTCTGTTGCCCAGGCTAGAGTGCCATGGTGTCAGCCTAGCTCACAGCAACCTCAAACTCCTGGGCTCAGGTGATCCTCCTGCCTCAGCCTCCCGGGTAGCTGGGACTACAGCATACGCCACCATGCCTGGCTAATTTTTTCTATATATTTTTAGTTGTCTGGCTAATTTCTTTCTATTTTTCAGTAGAGACGGGGGTCTCACTCTTGCTCAGGCTGGTCTCGAACTCCTGAGCTCAAACGATCCACCCGCCTCGGCCTCCCAGAGTGCTAGGACTACAGCATACGCCACCGTGCCCAGCTAATATTTTCTATATATATTTTATTTCTCTAATTTTAGAAGATATATTTGCAGGGTACCAAATTCTGGATTGAGTTTTTTTTCTTTCAACACTTTGTATCACTCCATTATCTTCTCAGAAATCATGCAAGCCATAATTCTGCTGTAATTCTTATTTTTGTTCCTCTACGTGTAGTGTGTTTTTTTCCTCTGGTTACCTTCAAGTTTTTCTCCATCTTTATTTTTAGCAATTTTAATATGATATGCCTAGATGTGTTTTTTGCATATTTGGGACTAGCTGTGTTTCCTGAACTATGGATTCATATCTTTTATTTTTTTAGTTGTGAAAAATTTTCAACTATTATAGGTCATCATATTTCTCTCTCTTTTTTTTTAATATTTTATCCTCCAACTCCCATTAGGTATATTTTAGACTTCATTCTCTTTTCTGTGTCTCATGACTTCTTCTGGGACGCTAATTATTTCTTCAGTGTCTCTAATCTCCTATTTAACCCTGTCATTGCATTTTTAATATCAGCGGCTATATGAATTTATAGAAATTTTATTTGCTATTATTTTTCAGATTTGCTGAAAGTTTTTTGATAGTGACTTATTCTTTGCTTTTCGTGCCTTTAATGCTGTAATTTTAAACATAACCTGTTTTATATAAAGACCTGTATAATTATTTTACTATCTTGAGTTTTTAAAAATATGTTCTTGCTGTCTTTTTTGTCTGCTGTCTCTCACTCATGGTCAATTCTTAGGTTTTATGTGTATTTTATAATTTTGAATCATGATCTTGTGTTCAGGGCCACAGGGAGGGATTTTATGTGTGGAAATTCTTTGCAGCTATGTTAAAGGTATATCCCTCTCAAGTGTAGTTATTTGTTTTGGTCATAGCAGGTAAGACAGTAAAAAGAGGTTGTGGAACATTTTGAATGCCGTGCTAAGAAATATACTTAATTTTGTAGACAGACATTATTTGTAGATTGAAAATGAGAAAGAACAGAGTAATGTAGTTAGAGAAGATGGTCTTAGAAAAAGGAGTTTTTTTTTTTTTTTCTCTGTGGCAGGAAGATAAGTAAAAGTAATGATGAAGAAAATTGGAAGTGGTAGAAAGTTTTGGAACTATTAGATGATCCAGATTTTTTCATTAAAACTGGAGGCAGGTTCATTTTCATCGAGTGAGGTAGAGTAGGTATAATAATGGTAACAACTGAGCTTTTATTGAGTATCTGTAACATTTCATGCATTGTGTGAGACTCCTTTCATAAGCTTTTCTCATAATCTTCACAGCACAGCCTCAGAAAGCAAATAGTAGCATCTATACTTTTACCAATGTACTGAAATTTGATGGGATTAAATAACTTGGCCAAAGTTTAAGAACTATTAAATGAGGAGTTAGATTTTACCTGTTTTGGTTATGAAAGTCTCTACTGTTTCTTTCAGGCCACTGATAGAATAATTTGAGGTTGAGAGGATTCAGGCTTTTTGAAGCCTGAATGTGAAAACTACCTCATGTTAGTCAATTCAAGGTCTGTATTTTCTTAACATGTCCTGTAATTATACTATGATAAGCAGCTCACATTTATTGAGTTCTTACTACATATTTGGCCCTTTTACACATATTATTTCATTTAATTCTGAAGACAGTGAAATGAGAAATAGAAAGTATTTTATATATATTTTTCAAATGAGGAAATGCAGACTCAGAGATATTAACTTGTTTGCTTCGTGGTCAAATAGCAAAGCCAGAATTCAAAATGAGAAGAAACTCACGAGTCTCTTTCCATAAGAAGAGACTGTGCTAGACATTGGGGGCATGTACAAGTACACATGACACATTTTTTGACACCAGGGAGTTTACAGTCCAGCAAATGGTGATAGTACCTTTTGATCAGTTTGTGGGTTTTTTTGGGAACTAGAAAGAGGAGTTAAATTCATGATTCATGTATCTACCCACTTTGTACCCCTGTGCCTATTTCAGAAAGGAATACCTTCAGCTTGTATGTAAAGTAAGCATCCTTATAGTTTCAGATATTTTTTGTATAAATGGTATATTGAACTCTAATGAGAGTTTCTAATGTGGACCATATGTATTCTTTGGATGAGTTTATTTTTAAGGGAGTTTTATATCTTATTTTCAGTGTTTATTTGTTGAATAAAAATGACCTATAACTAATAGCATTTTTATAATCTTGAGGTATAAAATGGGTAGGTAAAAATTTATAAAAATTTTTAGGTTTTTTATCTGTAGTCTGAGTATTTATATTTCTGATTATTAGAACCAGATCAACAGTAACCATCTTCGAAGAGCAGAACAAGAAGTGATCAGCCTGCAGGAGAAGGTACAGTATCTTTCTGCACAGAACAAAGGACTACTTACTCAATTAAGTGAAGCAAAGCGCAAACAAGCAGAGATCCAGTGCAAGGTAAATATGTCAGTTAGCTGGTTTATGTTTTTGTCAATATAATAATACCTTTTTTGGGCTTGTCTCATCATGATTACCTTAAAAACAGACCAAGGTGGGGGAAAAAGCCAATCTTAACTTCCTACTTTTCCTGAACTTGTTTTGGTGGCTGCTTTCAGACCAGATTAACTCATCTTGCTGCTGTGGTGGATTTCAGGCAAGAAACCTTGTTTTCAGCTACTTCATTGGTTAACTTAATTCCTGCATTGACATTTACTAGTATTTCTTTACAATTTTTCTTTTGACTGGTAGCCCTTTAAAACTATAATATTTAATGGCAATTTAAAGATGTCGGGGCTCCTCTGCTTTGGTTAGTATCTTATTAGTAGGCAGTCAATATTGATATATGTTTTCTGGAGAAGAGTACAGAGTAAAAGAAATGTGTTTTCCCAATCAGTGGGTTGGGAAAAATGGGTAAGTTATCTGTTATTATTTTAATCAGGCTTTTATTTTATTTTTTGTGTGTGAAGTGTTTGCATTCAAAAAGCATCACAAGTTTTTCCTAATTCTAGGAGGTTTTAAAAAAAAAAGCATCGAAAGTATTCGAATGCAAGTACATTTTTTCCTGACATAAATTTATAGTATAGCAGTGGTGAGAGAGGTCTGAGCATTAAAATGGGTTACTAACAGCAAGTTACGGGATTTTAAAAATAAACTATACATCCACCTTTCTATGGTGAAATAGTAGGAATGATGCCCTTTAAAGATTCTAGCCTTATTATTCTATAGGAAATAAGACTTTCAGTGGCACATATAAAGCTGTAATTCCATCAACTTATTCTGGTGTCATTAAAAACCGAGAGTGAAGCTCGAGTGGTTTATCAGTGTCACTGAAATCCAGAGATGAAATTACATCCTAATAAATATGCATGGCTGTTACAATTACACTGACAGAAATCTGTAGGCAGTACTGAAATTTGTACTCACTTAAGCATAGTCCCTTCTGATGGATATGACTAGACTAATTTAAAAATTAAATGATATTAAATGAGGTTATATTAGTCTGATTTGTCATACCAGTATTTGATTTTTATGATGCTAAATTGTCTGTGCTGACTTTAATAAAGAACTAAATTTAATCTTTTTTCGTTGTTGGTGTTAATTTTCCTTAAACATGTTTTAGTAAGAGTGCTACTGGATTTCATATTGTTCCTCAAATGCCTTAGCACCTTTTAAGCAAAGTAAAATGTTCTTTGGAAGTAAATCTTTGGGGATTTTGCTGTTGAAAATAATTGTTTTCCTTGAATTTATTCTAAGTAATGGGTTCAGATTCACAATATTAGAGGATTTTAGGAACTGATGTGGGATTTCATTTAATTTTTAATCATTCATTAATACCTCTATGCAATATGTTACAGATGCTGATTCTGATATTGCCCTGTGTCTAAGCTGTGTGTTGATTTATTCAGTCTTGTAATTCCTTTTGCAGAGTCTGAGAATGACCAATGTATTAATTGTCACCCTAGCACCTGGTACCTTCTGATTAAATGGAGTTTACCTCGTTACGTTGGAAAGATTTAGGAACAAACCTAACTTTTTTGAGGAAGCCAGTTCTTGAATTACATAAATCTGATTCATTTTCGTTTAGTTTTATATGATTATAGCTTATTACTAATTGTTAATTAATTATTAAAGATCATTTTATTTTTATTTGTGTAAAATGTCATGATATTGTTTATAATATTTACATTATTTTCCCTCTACACCTGAATTTGAATGTTCTCACTTAAAGGTGAAATAGTGCAAGTCTATGATGCTCAGTTTTAAAATGTAAAACACTGAAACCCGGCTGTTTTTTCATAAATTTCACACAAATTCATTTATACGCAAAATATGACTTGAATTGATATATGGCCATTTATAATTTTTATGTATTCCACTTGGTATAATATTTACATTTCACTGCTTCATCGTGTACATTGAGCACACAATGTTTCATTATTAATGCTGCTTCAGACCCTGCTAGGTAATTCTATGTATGGTTTATGCACTTTATTACTTTTCTGAGATCTGAAAAACCTGAATTCCAAACATACCTTGTTTATTGTTTTATTCGCCACCCTAGAACAAGGAAGAAGTGATGGCTGTAAGACTCCGGGAAGCAGATAGCATAGCTGCTGTGGCTGAACTACAACAGCACATTGCTGAGCTTGAAATCCAGGTACCATATAAAAATAATAATGTACATGTAAAAATAATGTAATAGTTCATTCATTCCTCTGCACCTGAACAATTACTTATTTATATCTTCATCGTGATGACTGTGATTCTATTTTCAAGATTTATTCATTTCCAACTCCATTTTTTTTAATCATTGTAAAATAGACACAACATAAAATTTACCATTTTAGTATATAGTTCTGATCCGGGCATGGTGGCTCACACCTGTATTCCTAGCACTCTGGGAGGCCGAGGCGGGAGGATCGCTTGAGGTTAGGAGTTTAAGACCAGCCTGAGCAAGAGTGAGACCCTGTCTCTACTAAAAATAGAAAGAAATTAGCCAGACAACTAAAAATATATAGAAAAAATTAGCCGGGCATGGTGGTGCATGCCTGTAGTCCGAGCTACTCGGGAGACTGAGACAGAAGGATTGCTTGAGCCCAGGAGTTTGAGGGCTCCATCCATTTCTAGAACTTTTTCATCTACCCTAACTGAAATTCTGTACCCATTAAACCCTAACTTCCTCTTCCCTTCTTCCCCCAGCCTCTGGCAGCTACCATTCTAGTTTGTCTCCATGACTTTGACTGCTCTAGTTACCTCATAGAAGTGGAATCATATAACATGTTTCAGTGACAGACTGTATATATGATGGTGGTCCCATAGATTATAATGGAGCTGAAAATTCCTATCACCTAATGACATAGTAGCCATCTTAACACTGTAGTGTATCTCATTGCTCATGTGTTTGTGGTGATGCTGGTATAAGCAAACCTATTACACTTTCATTCATATAAAAGTATAGCACATACAATTTTGTACAGTACATAATACTTGATAATAAACTGTGTTATTGGTTTATATATTTACTATAGTATACTTTTTTTTACTATATTATTTATCATTGTTTTACAGTGTACTCCTTCTATTTATATTAAAAAAAGTTAACTATAAGACAGACTCAGGCAGGTCCTTAAAGAGGTATTCCAGAAGAAAGCTTCATTCTGATAGGAGATGACAGCTCCATGTATGTTAATGTCCCTGAAGACCTTCCAGTGGGACAAGATATGGAGGTAGAAGACAGTGATATTGATGATCCTGATCCTGTGTAGGGCTAGGCTAATGTGTGTCTTTGTGTCTTAGTTTTTGTCTGTCTGTCTGTTTTGAGACAGGGTCTTGCTCTGTTGCCTGGGCTAGATTGCGGTGGCATCGTCATAGCTCACAGCAACCTCAAACTCCTTGGGCTCAAGCCTCAGCCTCTCAATTGCTGGGACTACAGGTGCGTGCCACCACACCTGGCTAATTTTTTGTATTTTTTGTGGAGATAGGTCTTGCTTTTGCTCAGGCTGATCCCAAACTCCTGGCCTCAAGCAATCCTCCCTCCTCTGCCTTCTAAAGTGCTACAATTACAGGCATAAGCCACTGTGCCCGGCCTTGTGTCTTAGTTTCTAACAAAAAAATTTAAAAAGAAAAAAAAAATTTAAAAATAGGAAAAGCTTATAGAGTAAGGATATAAAGAAAAAAGTTTTGTACAGCCGTACAATGTCTTTGTGTTTTAAGCTGTGTTACTGCAGGAGTCAAAAGGTTACAAAAAATTTTTTAAGTTTATAAAGTAAAAAAGTTATGGTAAGCTAAGGTTAATTTATTATTGAAGAAAAAAGTATTTTTTTCTTTCAAATTTAGTGTAGCCTAAGTATACAGCGTATATAAAGTCTATAGTAGTGTACAGTAGTGTCCTAGACCTTCACATTCACTCACCACTTACTCACTCACCCAAAGCAACTTCCAGTCCTGCAAGCTCCATTTATGGTAAGTGCCCTATACAGGTGTACCATTTTTTAATCTTTTATACCATATTTTTGCTATATGTTTTCTACATTTAGATATGTTTAGATACACAGATACTTACTATTGTGTTACAGTTGCCTGCAGTATTCAGTACAGTAACATGCTATACAGGTTTGTAGCCTAGGAGCATGGAGGATATGCCATCTAACCTGGGTGTGTGGTAGGCTGTGCCATCTAGGTTTGTGTAAGCAAACTCTGTGATGTTCACACAACAAAATCACCTGATGCATTTCTCAGAATGTATTCCTGTTGTTAAGTGATGCATGACTGTTTTTGTCCTTTTGTGACTGGCTTTTTCACTTAGCATAATGTTCTCAAAGTTCATTTACGTCATAGCATGTGTCAGAATTTCCTTCATTTTTAAGTCTCCATTGTATGTATATACTAAATTTTCTTATTTGTTCATTCATTCATGAACACTTGAGTTGCTTCCATGTTTTAGCTATCGTGAATAATACTGCTATGAACATACGTGTGCAAATGCTTGTTCCAGTCCCTCCCTTTTTTTGAGTATATACCTAGAGGTGGAATTGATGGATCATATAGTAATTCTGTTTAATTTTGGGAGGGATTGCCACACTGCTCTCCACAGCAGCTACACCATTTTATATTCCTACCAGCAATACATGAGGGTTTCATTTGTTTCCATATCCTCACCAACACTTATTCATTTTCTGGATTTTTTTTTTTATAATTACCATCCTGATAGGTGTGAAGTGATACCTCATTGTGGTTTTTATTTGCATTTTTCTAATGACTAGTAATGTTGAGCATCTTTTTATGTGCTTATTTGTCATTTATGTATCATCTTTGGAGAAATGTCTGTTCAAGTCCTTTGCTTAATTTTAAATCAGGTTGTTTATTGTTTTTGTTGAGTTGTGGGAGTTATTTAAATATTCTCAATATTCTCAATATGAATCTCTTATCAGATATATGGTTTGCAAATATTTATTCCCGTTCTTTGTGTTGCCTTTTCTCTCTGTTGATTTTGTCCTTTGCTCAAAAGCTTTTAATTTTGCTGGACCACCTTACCTGTTTTTTCTTTTATTGACTGTGCTCCAAGTCCATTTTTGGTGACAATTTATCATATTTCTATATTGTCAAAGCAGTTTTCAAAAGAAAATTCAAAGCTTTGCAAATAAATGTTTTGTCACTTTGTATGTCCTACTTATTATGCAGTGTGATCAGGTAGTAAGTTTCCTATATAGGCAAAGTGTTATGTTTAAAATCTTAAGTCTTTCAAAGTTTTTGATTATATTCTACTTCATCACAATACAGTTTTTTCTGCAACATCTAGAATTTTCTTCCCACCTGAAATTTCCTTTGTCCTTAAATTTCTATTTATAATTCAGTTAATTTACACATTTACATATTATAGCATCATCATTTGATCTGGAGCAAAAGTGATCACAACATGTTATGATTTGTATGTGTTTATAAAAAGGTATCCTTTATGTTCTGTTGGTAATATTCTCCACAAAGTGCGCATATTCAGAAAAACCTCAGACATGAACCAGCTGCATAGTATGTTCTCAATCATTTATTTAAATCATGCTATCATATGCAATTTTAGTTTCAGTCTATACTTTTCAAATATCAAGAAAATGATTAAAATTTGCCACATTTCTGTACATCTTAATCATAACAGCAAAATTTAAATCACTCTTTTCATTGAATCTGAAATATTTGTTAAATGAAGAACCTGGTATACAGCTTGTTTCCTTTAAAATGAAATATAATATATATTACATCATTTTTGAAAAATGAAAAAGAAAATGCATGGAAATTTTTTTTTAACATCTCCCCCACCCCCAAGCCCCTGGTAACTACCATTCTACTCTGTACTTACGAGTTCAGCTTTTTTAGATCCCACATGTGAGATCATGTGGTATTTGTCTTTCTGAGCCTGGCTCATTTCACTTAGCATAATGTCCTCCAGGTTCATATGTGTCACAAATGGCAGAATTTCCTTCTTTTTTACTATTTAGAATACTGAATAGTATTCTATTGTGTATATATACCACAATTTTACTAAGTATCCATCACTTATCCACTGATGGATACTTAGGTTTGTTTGTTCTGTATCTTGGCTATTGTGAATAACATAATTAACATGGGAGTGCAGCTGTCACTATAACATACTGATTTTGTTTGAATATATAGCTAGTAGTGGGAATGTTAGATCATATGATAGTAATATTTTTGATTTTTTGAGGAATATCCATACTCTTTTCCATAATGGCTGTGCTAATGTACATTCCCACCAACAGTGTGTGAGAGTTCCCTTTTCTCCACATATTCTTTGGTATTTGCTGTCTTTCATCGTTTTGATAATAGCCATTCTAACTGATATGATGTGATGAAAATTTTACTGTTAGTAGGAATATGTTAGCATCAACTGGCTCTTGATAAAACAATCACTGGAATCCTAATTGCCAAATTTATTGATATTTTATCAGGATTTACCCTATTTATGCTTACTGCATTTGTTGTTGTGGACCACTTCATCCTCCTTCTATTCGCTCCTCCCCTGACTTTCCTAACACCACTTACTTTTGACTCTCTGCTTGTTTAACTGTTGTTTTCAATCATCTTTATCAAATCAGGATGTGTGTATTCCTCTGAGAATCTGAGGTTTTGACTTTTAAAAAACTGTGCCCGAATGAAGGATCTTACTTACATGGCTTCAAGAGCCATCTTTCCAACAATGAATCTTAATTTATTTCCAGCCTTAACCTGTTTCCCCTTACCAATAATTTTTAAATCTTTTAAAAAATTTGTCAAGCACAATATACAGAGAAGTTCATAAAACAAAACTACATTATACAAGTAAAAACATTGCACATATAACTGCTACCAAGGTCAAGATAGAGAATATTGCCTGTACTCGAGAAGTGTACCCAATCACACCCTGCTCCCTTATCCTGTCTTTTATGATAATGATTCTTAGGCTTTTCCTTATAGTTATATCATCTTTGGATGCATTTCTGATCCATACAGTTTAGTTTTCCCAGTTTCCCAGTTCTCAGTGTCATACTGAATATTTTCTGTCTCTTTCTTTGTTCAACATTATTTTTGTAAGTCATCATTTTTATTATTGTACATATTTCATTTTTTTAATATATCACAAATATATTTATCGATTCTACTATTGGT